TTTAAACGTTTCATGGAGTTACCATCCATAAAATTTGATTACTAGACAAATATGAAATATAAGTGTTTAATATGGGGAGCTCCCGACATAAGTCTCCAAAATATATCATTAATTTAAAATACAAAGTTTATGACTCAAGATACAAATAAGGGTCTATGACAGTACATGTCCTCTAAAACTCCCGAAACGTACTATGAAGAAATCGAGTATGGAATCCAAGTCTGGCGAAGAGCTCCTCAGCTGGCACTTACTGACATGCGCACGGAAACACATTCCATACGCCGAGCTCACAAGCTCAGTGCCACAAAAAATAATCAAGTTGTACTACATGCATCCAACATGTAATCATGATACAATATAGTTATGAGCAAATGCAACACAAGAAAACAGTAAGTATCAAGGTGTAGCTTGGGGTCACACAACATCACATAACTTATACCCAACCCTCTTTACAACAAAATAATATTTTTTTTTTCTAAATACTTGTCGAAACAATTTTTAAGAGAAGGGAGCAAGATTTTGAAAACCACGTCATTTTTAATTATTCTATTTATGGTTGATTTTTAATTAAAAATAATGGAAATTTAGAAAACCTCTCGTTTCGAAAAATTTGGAATTCCTTTTTAAAATAAAACGTACGGTTCGAGGAGTCGCCACTAATATTTGATTAGGGTGTGATTGGACACCCAAAAATATTTTACCACTTTAAGTAAAAAGTTCTTTTAATTAAAACGACAAGTATAAGTCTACGTTACCAAAAAACGGGTTCGGGAGTCCGTTACGTGTGGAGAATGATTAGCACCCCCACAACGTATAGGTCTACGTTACCAGAAAATTGGTACCTAGTCGATTAATTAATGTCTTTGCAACGAAATTCACAAAGTCAACTTTAATTTAATTTTTGATCTCTTAAAATTGGTACATATTTTATTACCACACATCATACGATATATAAATATATTAATATACAATGCATAGTTGTGGCTTAAATGCAACAATTAAAAACATAATAACTAAAATACGAATTTCAGAAAACAATCATGTTTATTTAAATAAGGACCAAATCATATTAACCCAAACATTAATACCTTAAATATAAACTAAACAATTGGAATAGACTAACACAAGAATAAACCAAAACACATAAGAAGGACTAAACAGTAACATGCAGGAACTTAAGGCTCAAATGTCTAAAGAAGCGAAACTAAGTACATTACCACTCAGGACTGAAATTAAATAGGGAAAAATATGGAGACAAAATATGGAATACGAAAACAACAATTTAAGGACTAGAATATAAAACCCACACACGAGAGCTCCCTTAAACGATGCCGTTTTATTACGCTTATATAGATATAATTCTAAGTTAAAAATAACCCTAAATTCATTTGTAACATCTCCCAGCCGCAATCCCATCTCTCAACCCTTCTTCTTCTAAACTCACGGCCTCCTGGAAAACCAGTAAACCCAAAGCCGGTCCCCGTACGTTCCGAATACCGCCACCCGAGGAGGTTCTACTAACTCAAGGCCTTCGACGAAAGCTTCTAGATCTCGACGAGAACCCCTATAACGCAAGGTAAAAAAAAAGCTACCCCTTTCCCTTTTATTCTGTTTTTGGGTTTTTGCATTTATATTTGAAAGTTACTAAATCGAAATAACAAAAATGAAACCGCAAATGATAATGAAGAAAAAAACCTTGCTAGAATTGGATTTGTTTTGCACTGCTTTGATTCCTTGAAAAAGAGAGAGACTTGTGTTTACATTAATCTTTGAGTAACAGAGGATACACTGTTTTGGCATACATATACATTGGTATTTCGTTCTTTCCGCCAACTCGAATGGTATCACCCTGTCGTTCGAATGGTTGTTGATTTCCTTGTGGTCTCTCCTGTTTTTGTGTTTTGTTGCCTTGCTGTTCGTGTACCACCCTCCCTGGCTGATCGAGTTCCTCCCCTTTTCTCGTCAGTGCCCTCGTATTATTATACTCCATGGCCTCTTTTCAAAACAAAAACAAATTCTGCTGGTTATGGGCTCGAGCAAAGTGCGTATGAACGGCGGTAGTGGCTTCGGTGAGTGGTCGACAGGCGCGGGTGGGTGCTTGGTGGACATGCGCACTGTCTCGGGGCTATGGGCATGTTAATGGTTGATGCCTCCTTGCTGATCTGTTAATGCTTTGTTTTTATATTATTCCCCATAATATGCCGCCCCCCACTCTGTGTTGAATCTGTTATTCTTCCTTTTATTCGAACCGTGCCTCCACTGTTATCGATCTCTCCTCCTTTGTTAATTGATGTCCCCGTGATTCTATACTGATTGCTGCATTTGATGGCCAGAGTATGGGCAGCAGTGATGGCGTGGGTAGTGGAGCAGGCAGGGCATGGGCAACAAGCTGGGGAGTTGAGCCTGTCTACTCGGGCGTGGCGCTGGCCTGCACTTGTTGCTGCTCGGTTGGGGTGTTGTGGAGCATGGGCACTGGTGACAGTGGAGCATGGGCCTCACGTGGGAAGTTTCACTCGGGTCCGGGTTTGGGTCTAATGGGTTCCGGGATTGGGTCTGATGACCCCTTATAATTGGGTCCAGTTTGGGCCTGCATTGTACTTTAGCCTGCAAAATAATAAAACATAAATAATATTAATATTATTAATAATATATTATAATATAATAATATAATAATAATTATTATAACATAATATTTATAATCCGGACAAAAACGAGTGTATATAATACTTTTAACCATAGATTAAATATTTTTTAAATAAAAGTACCAATCTACGAAGGTTTTTGATACGAAACTTAAATAATTCATGATTCTCAAATTTCAAAGTGAATTGTATTTAAATATAGGGTTAATAATATGTATGATCATTTATGTTTGTGTATTGTCTATTTTTCCTCACATATTTCGAAAAACACAATATAAACTCACTTTTATTTTTATTTAATTAAGACTTGATCACTACGAGTTAATTGTCATTAACAATCAACTGATCAGATGATGTTGCAGTTAAATATCTTGGCATGATCACACATTTGATATCTATTATTTACATATTCTCTCAATTTAGTCATACTTTTAATAAATTAAAATAAATTTAATCCTCTAATCGAATTATGTCATGTGTAATTATACCAAAATATTTAATTGCCACGACACCTAATATGTTAACTGTTAACGACAGCTAACATGTGGTGACCACATATTAATTAAATAAAAATGAAAGTGATCATGCTTCGATTAACTAAAAATAAAAATGACCACATGTTATGTTTTTTGAAATAAGTAAGGAAAACGAACATAACATAAACATAAGTAATATTGTAGTCGACCCCTTAAATTTAACTGTTAACGACAGCTAACATGTGGTGACCACATATTAATTAAATAAAAATGAAAGTGATCATGCTTCGATTAACTAAAAATAAAAATGACCACATGTTATGTTTTTTGAAATAAGTAAGGAAAAACGAACATAACATAAACATAAGTAATTAATATTGTAGTCGACCCTTAAATACATTTAGTTTTATGATTATAAAAATATTAATTGAATTAATAATCAACCTATTTTTTAGGGTTAATTTTACATAATTTGGGGTTGAATTTATAAAATTTACATTTCTCGAGCCAAACAATTAGGTGATTTGCTTAGCCAAATTTCCGGGATGTAGACCGACGACTGTTACAAGTCTCCCTCCACTCACATTTGTCCTTTTCCACTACTTTACGACTAATGTGGAAAAGAAAGACCAAAAGCTTCCCACAAAAAAAAACCCCTATCCGTACAACTGATTATTTTATATTTTATTTATTAATATATTTCTATTTTAAAAACTTATTATACGATATATTAGGAAAACAATTCAAACAATGTTTAGATAATGTTAAATATTTTGTTATTGATTTATAATTTTTTAATAATTTTATTTAGGGTAAAGTATAGTAATGGTCACTGAACATTTCTGAAGCTTGCATTTAGGTCCCCTAACTTTTAAAACTTGCAATATAGTCCCCAACATTTATTCCGTTTACAATATGGTCCCCCAACTTAAACCACTGTTAGAAAATTAGGGTAAATTATATAAATGGTCATTAAACTTTTCAGGCACTTGAATTTAGGTCCCCCAACTTTTAAAACTTGCAAAACAATCCTCAATTTCATTCTAAACCCCAAATTCCAAAGTAATTCAATTTTATTCTAAATAGTAAATTCATGTTCAAAATTCCAAAGTAATTCAATTTCATTTTAAACCCTAAATTCCAAAATAATTCAATTACATTCTAAACCTTAAATTGAAGTATTTTAGAATTTGGGGTTTAGAATTTAATTGAATTATTTTGGAATTTAGGGTTTAGAATAAAATTGAATTACTTTAGAATTTGGGGTTTAGAATGAAATTGATGACTGTTTTGCAAGTTTTAAAAGTTGGAGAACCTAAATTCAAGTGCCTAAAAAGTTTAATGATCATTTATATAAATTTACCCTAATTTTCTAATGGTGGTTTAAGTTGGGGGACCATATTGCAAACGGAATAAATATTGGGAGACTGTATTGCAAGTTTTAAAAGTTGGGGGACCTAAATGCAAGCTTTAGAAATGTTCAATGACCATTACTATACTTTGCCCTTTTATTTAAGTGCAAAATAATATATTTTTTAAAGATAATTTGACGGTAATGTTTTTAGTATTCGAAAATGAAACATCGATGAATAACAATAATTCTTTTATCATTAAGTTACTTGGTTCATATTATTTTATAAATTTTAAATACAAGATTTTTTAATTTTTTTTATTGATAATGTATCAAATAATAATTTTATTTAAAAAAAATTAAAAAATAAAAAATGTTTTTATTTTGAAATATATATTTTTCAAAAAAGGCATTTCCTTATGTTGTATTACCTTCTCGTTTGGGTTTCCTAACGAAAAAGAAAAAAAAAAACTCACTTTTTTAATTTTCTGTATTCGTCATTTCCCACACTCCTACTGTGTGTTTTCTACTTCCTCTTAACTTCCATTTTCTCTGAAGAAAAACTAAAAAAAAAAGCTTTTTCCTGTCAGCAATGGCGACACCTAAAGAACACACAGAGTTGATCAGGAAAAGAAAATTCTCAATCGGAGGAGAACCCAACCCGTTGATAGAAGACCTTCATCAAGCTGTTCGAAACCTGTCCGCTGAGCTTTACACTAAAGATGCTCATTTCCTCATGGAACTTATCCAGGTCTTTTCCTCCCTCGTGTTTCTTTCATTATTTTTCATATTATAATGATATCGTTTATATTTGTGTATGTGAAAATTTAGTGTAAGATGTGTACACGAACAGTCATTTGAGATGATGTGAATATCTCTTGTTTTTTGAAATCTTGATTGTTGTTTGTGTTTATCAAGTTGGTGATGGAGGGAAGTTTTGTGATGATATTGCAGAATGCAGAGGACAATGAGTATTTGGAAGGGGTGGATCCATCGTTGGAGTTTGTGATAACATCCAGGGACATAACGGCCACCGGAGCTCCGGCGACGTTGCTGATTTTCAATAACGAGAAGGGGTTTTATCCCAAAAACATAGACTCCATTTGCAGTGTTGGACGTTCCACTAAGAAAGGCAACAGGAGACGTGGTTATATTGGGGAGAAAGGTATACATACATATTTATTTTTCCTTTTTCAATGTTTTAATATTAGATATGAATATATATAATCAATATTCTTTTATAAAGCCATATTTAAATCCGTTGTTCAATGCCCTTCACCTGCACAAGACCATGCATACCATATATAGAGCAAAACTTTTTATTTAACTCGTGCATGACAAAGATGCATGAATAGTTTTTTTAAAGATGTATTATGTTTTCTTTGTAGGAATTGGGTTCAAAAGTGTCTTTTTGATCAGTGCTCAGCCTTACATATTCAGCAATGGCTATCAGATACGCTTCAATGAAGCCCCTTGTTCTCACTGCGGTCTTGGCTACATAGTCCCCGAGTGGATTGACGAGAACCCGACACTTGATGACATTAGAAAGGTTTATGGACTGTCTTCTGTACTTCCAACTACTGTCATTGTGCTGCCCCTGAAGCCTGACAAGGTCAAGCCCGTGCAACAGCAGCTCTCAAGCATTGAACCTGAAGTGTTGCTATTCCTTTCGAATATCAAACGTCTTTCTGTCAGGGAAGACAATGAAGATCCCTTGCTCAATTCTGTGAGTGGCATAGCTATTACAAGTGAGACTAATTTTATGACGAGGAAGAACATCGATGCCGAGTCCTATACACTTATTCTTTCCGCTGAGGAAAGTTCTGACAAGTTTGATAAAGAATGCAGCTACCATATTTGGAAGCAGAAGTTTCCTGTCATGCCGGAAAACAAAGTGGAAAGGAGAATGGATGTGGAAGAGTTGGTGATCACATTGGCTTTTCCGAACCAAGAGCGTTTGCAAAGAGGGATGAAATTGCCCGGGGTCTATGCATTTCTTCCAACGGAGATGGTGACCAATTTCCCCTTCATTATTCAAGCAGAGATTTTGTTTTATCATCATCAAGGGAAACAATACTATTAGACAACAAATGGAACCAAGGGATTCTTGAATGTGTTCCCTCTGCTTTTGTCAATGCATTCATCTCACTGGTGAAAATGACAGATGAGGCTCCGGTATCTAGTTTGTGCCGGATGTTCAATTTCTTGCCAGTTGACAGTTCCTTGTACCCAAATTTTAATGCCGTTAGGGAAATAATAAGATCGAAACTGGTTGATGAAGATATTCTTCCAAGTGATGAGTCGTGCACAGGGCAGAAGTTTTTCCATAAACCCCTAGAAGTGGGTAGAATTATGCCTGCTTTCTGGGATATTGTAAAGAAGGCAAGAAAGGAGGGGCTGGACTTGTATAATGTTTCATCCCATGGAGTATATATATTGCATTCTTCTTTTGATGTGATTGAGTATGATAATATTCTAAATTTTTTGGGAGTTGGATCAGTCAATAACGTGTGGTATGCAAGGTGCATCAAAAGTTCTAACCTTGTATTGGGAGTTTCGGAAGGCGTTTATCTTGATCTTCTTCTCTTCCTTGCAGAGAATTGGAATAACATATTCCACGCTTCCATAGTCATGAAATTGCCACTTCTCAAATATGTGGATCATTTTGGATGTGTGTCTTTGTGCAGTATCGGAGAATCCACACAGCGTAGTCTGGGGACAATATGCCGATCACATCAATCTTGTCATATCTCATGGATGATTGGTTGGAACAAGGAATTTAGTGGGGTTACAAACCGTTTTTTCCTTCCTCAAAGCACACAAAATGCCATCTGTTCGTATGTTAAGAAAGAAACGGTTTTGGAATGGCTTCAAAACCAGGCACAGCTTTTTCCCCTAGGTGTGTATAACTATGCAGCCGCTCTTATTGACCTCATTGGTGACAAACCAAAGCTTGCCATAACCTATGCTCACTTCTTGTATCATTCGTCCTTGAAGAAATTTGTAACAAGTGCAGAAGTTGATCATTTGTGTGGCAAGTTACCCTTGGTAAATAAATATGGTAATGTGAATGCTAAGACGGAGAGGAAGGTTCTTGTCCCTGCTAATGGAAGCAAATGGAACAGCTTGGTTGGCTCAAATCCACTGAAAGATGAAGGCTATATCGAGTTAGGGGAAGAATACTTGCATCCTAGAACTTGTGCTGGTCAATCCACTCCTGGAGGGAAGCTCTTGTTGTTTCTAAAATCACATGTTGCTGTCCTGGATATTCCATCTCTGTCTCCCCCAAATGCTGCGATTCCTGCTGTTTCTTCGCCTCTATCAAAGGAAAATACTTTCTTGCTGTTGTATTGGATTCGGGACATGAAAAAAAGAAAAACACCAATTCCAGAAAGGTTTTTGACAAGCATAAAAAATGGAAATTGGCTTAGAGTCACCATAAATGGCTCTTATGGCTACAAACCACCAGCACAATCATTTTTTTATTCCTCCTCACTGGGAGACGTTATGCAGAATGGATCAGTGTTTGTTGATATTCCATTAATAGATCAGAGCTTTTATGGGGAAAGAATAAGTGATTATAGGGAAGAGCTTAAAACAATTGGTGTCATGTTTGAGTATGGAGACGCCTGCCAATTTATCGGTGACCATCTTATGAGATTGGCATCTTCATCGAGGTTAAGTAAAGATCGTGTGCTTTCCATCCTCGGTCTCATCAAATATTTGAGGACAAAATACCTCCCACCCAATGAATTTATCTGCAGTATCAAAGAAGGAAGGTGGCTAAAGACGTCTCATGGTTACAGATCACCGGTTGGAGCTGTTTTGTTTGATGATGAATGGAAAACAGCCATACAATTAAGTGATGTCCCTCTCATCGATAAAGATTTCTATGGTGATGAAATTCTTGGCTTCAAAGTTGAACTTGGGCTGCTTGGTGTTATAGTTGGCTTCAATGGATGTCATCAGCTTGTTGTTGAAAACTTGAAGCAATCCTCACACTTGACCTCTTTGAAAGCCGATGCTTTTCATTTATCGCTGGAATGTATGCGATATGCAAAATCACCTGGAAAGCTTGTTTCAACCCTTCGAGATGCCAAGTGCTTGAAGACCAATCTTGATTACAAAACCCCATCTGAATGCTTTCTCTTTGATCAAGAGTGGGGTTGTCTTCTACAGGTTTTCGGTTGTTTCCCGTTAGTCGACCATTCTTACTACGAAACTAACATCTCCTGCTACAAAAATGAGTTGAATAGATTGGGTGTTGTGGTGGATTTTGATGTAGCAGCCCAATCTGTTATCATCTGTTTCAGGCAACATGCATCGACATCATGTTTTACAAAAGATAATGTTTTCTCACTCCTCACATGCTGTAGACAACTGAAGGGAACTTCCTATAAGTTTCCCTCCGACTTGAAGAAATGCATCCACGAAGAGAAGTGGTTGCGGACTCGGCTCGGAGATTTCAGGTCTCCAAAAGAGTGCATCCTAGCTGGTCCAGAATGGGAATCCATCTCTTCAATTTGTCTCCTTCCTTTTATCGATGACAGTAACAACTACTATGGAAAGGACATTCATAAGTATAGAGATGAGTTGAAGAGCATGGGAGTAGTTGTTGAATTCAAAACCGGTGCGAGATTTGTGCCTTCTCGTCTCTGTTTCCCACATAGCATGGACAGTATAACTCCTAGTATAGTACTTTCATTGCTCAGGTGCTTGAGGGTTTTGTTGGAAGACAATTACACCTTCCCAGAGGAATTTCTTAGTAAAGTTTCAAAAAGTTGGTTGAAAACCTATGTTGGTTACATGAGTCCAGGTGATTGCTTATTGTTTGATGGAAAATCAGACTTGAAACCAACAGATGGACCATTCATCGATGAGGGGTTTTACGGTTCTGAGATAAGAAAATATAGAAAAGAGCTATCTTTAATTGGAGTTACCGTTGATGCTGAGAAGGGAAGCACGCTGCTAGCCAGCCACCTTGATATGCATTCGAATTTTGCCACCATCATTCGGATATATAAATTCTTGGCAAAAGTGGAATGGTCACCTGACAACGAAGCTAAACCATTAATCTGGATCCCTGATGGCAATGATAATGGAAGGTGGGTCAAACCTTATGAATGTGTTCTACATGATAAAGATGGACTCTTTGGAATGCAGTTCAATGTTTTGGACAAACACTATAAAAACAAAGTCCCACTGCAATTCTTCTCCGGTGCATTGGGCGTCAAATCGAATCCTTCACTTGATGACTATTGCAGACTCTGGAAAGGTTGGGAAACTTCAGGACATCGTTTGTCGCATGATGAGTGTTGTGCATTCTGGAGGTTTGTCTTGCAGCACAAGAGTTCAAAGAAAGAGAAAATGCTTTCTGAAAGTTTGGAGAAAGTCCCCGTTGACTCGGGTTCGGATGGGATCATGTTATTAGACAAAAACGATGTGTTTATAGGTGATGATCTTCAACTTAAGGATCTCTTTGTCCAATCCTCTTCTCGTCCTCTGTTTGTTTGGTATCCTCAGCCAAGCTTACCCCATTTGCCCCAGACTATGCTTTTTGAGTTGTACAAAAATGTCGGGGTTCGAGTGATATCCAAGTCTGTACAGAAGCAAGAATTGTCCTTAACAAATGGCCCGGAACTTAAACAGAGCAATCCCGGAGATTCTATGATTGGGAAAGGGCTGCTCCGACTTATTCTTGGCTTTTTAGCATGTTCATCAATGAATTTGGAAGCTGACAAAAGGCATGAAACTGTTCAACCCCTCCTCAATCTCACTGTCCTCGAGACTTCCGAACCGGTCGAAGTCAGATATACTTTGTTACAATCTTCAGGTGGAACCCCTGAAGTTCGAGCAAGCCGAAAGGTGCGCTGGGACAAAGCGAGCTCCAAGTTATACTTTCAGAAGATGGATGAGTCTGCTGGACAAAAAGATCAGATCGAGTATGCTACTTATTTCTCTGAAACAATTGCTGAAGGACTACTGTGGGAGAAGGAAGATCAGATCAGTTCGCTGTCCGAGCTAATCAAGCTGACCTTCATGCTGAAATTCGATGAAGACGCCGTCGGTTTCGTGATGAAATCCAAGAATCTGCAGGTGTTTGTTGAGGATGAAGAATTCCTTTCCGCTGCCTTCCCCAATGAATAAGTGTGTGCAAGGTATGAACTATTATATACTTAATATTTTGCAAGGTGTTCAGTTGTGCGTATTAAAACATAGCTTATGAAGCATATGCGGATGTATGAACTTTAATATTTTGGTGCATCTTTAATTCTACTGGTTTGGATTACTATATATTTACCTGAAGGGTTTCTACTTATGTTAAGAACATATGTTGGTGAGTGCCTTAATATGAGACCTTTGATATTTTGATGCAGCGATAAGATATGTAATTTGATTCTGATGTGTGCTGTTGCTGAAGTTAAAAAGTCAATCTTTTGTTCTATTTTATTATCTTCATTAAAGTTAAAGAATTTTTCAAATATTTTATTACCTTTGACATACGATGTTATCTTCAATACTGCCTGCTGCATACACTCGAAGAAACCTCGGTGATATCACTACTGGAACTTGAACCCGAAGAAGAAGAAGATGACTCAGCTGTTATGCCATCGTTTTCTCTCATGAAATCAAACAATTTTGGCTTCATTTTATGAATAAATGCCTTGGGTTTTTTTCACTTTTTCTTTACTATTATTACAAAAACTCTGCATAATCTCCTCATCGTCACTACTCTCACTTGTTTTCTTCAAGAATACGTGGCACAGAACCCGCTTTTCCATCTCATGGTTCAGATAATTCTGGTTGTTTGCATGTAGAGAATCGTTTGATAGAGTAAGTAGGCGATATTCATGCATGATCCAATCAGTTCTTGATCCATGCGGAGGCTTCCCATGTGGAAAACTAGGGTTTTTCTCATCCCTCCTACTTCATTTCTCCTTGATACGATTTGCTTATCCGAACCGGTTGCCTTCCAATATACGGAAGCAGTCGCTCGGTTTATCCCGTTCCCGGTTCTATACTACGCTTCCTTCGTGCTGAAAAAATACTTCTCATCGTCCGTCTCACCTATAGAAGAAAATCTTTTGTTATTTCAATTCTGTATTTTTTTCTGAAAAATATTTAGATATATGCATGGGAAACGTATCTATTAGTGCAAATTCCATAGGAGTTCTCGTAGTTGATATTCATAGTGGCGACCTCTTATCGATATGCATACGAGAATATAAACTAAAACAATTCGGACTCGAGTATTAGTGACGGATCCATAAATTTGAGAATGGGATCTAAAATTTTAATTTTCTTTTCTTAAAAATAATGGTTATGCAAAAATTGTAATTTTTTTCTTTTTTTTTCTTAACACATTAAGTTAAATTTAATTATTTTTTCAAAACAATGGGATGCACTTGACTCATCGGGGTTTAGTGCATCCGCCACTGATAAGTATCAATCCGTCGCCAATATATTTAATAACCCTCCATAGATAATGCATGCAAAGCTAGAAAAGAGCTTACCGGGCAGATCCCAGGGATCAAACTTGCAGGCATTAAGGTCAGGGATGATGGAAGCAGGCAAAGGATAGGATAAGACCTAGCATTTCAAGTACTGAAACACCATCTCTTCGTCGGTCGGTTGGAACCGGAACCCCGGCGGCAATTTTTTTAGTCCATTCAGCGTTAGATTGTTCATATCCTTCTTTAAGTCCATTAGTACCCCTTAATCTTCCCTTTCTTCTGCTGCAAGCAGTGTCAAGCAAAGGACTGACGCTTTCATTAACAGGATTGATATTACACTGTAGAACCAAGAGGCAACTTTAAAATCCTTGGAGATACAAGTCAGACAACTTGCCCAGAATTTGAACACAAGACCACTAGGCAGTTTATCCAACGATACTGCATCGCAAATGGATTAGGCTACGAATAGTGTAAGGTAATCACCACTCGAAGCGGAAAGCTAACTGAAACCCCTACAAAGGACACAGAGAGAACTCAACCTGTAGAGCAGATTCTTGTCCAGGAAGATACATCCAACAACATTGGCCCAACCAATATTGATGAATCAAAGAATGCCCAAGCCATCCCACATGCCTCGGCAATTCCAATTGTAGTAACAAGTCTATCGATCAAATTCTCGGCAATTCCAATTGTAGTAACAAGTCTATCGATCAAATTCCAAACAGATGGGAAGGATGAGGATATGTGAATTCCACCACCATTCCCTTAGAAGCTAAAAAGGTAGAAACAATAATAGCAGATCAAGAAATTCTTGGACATATTGAAACAAGTTTAGATTAACTTACCGTTGGTTGAGGTGATAGAGCAAATGTTGAAATATGCTAAGTTCTATAAAGACATTGTCTCTAAGAGAACAAGGCTAAGAGAGTTTGAAACAGTTGTTGTGACGGAGGGATGCATGACCATGTTGCACAACCGTATGCCACCCAAACTAAAAGATCATGGTAATTTCACAATACCATGTGCTCTACAAAATCACTATGTTGGGGAGGCGTTATGCGATCTTGGAGCAAGCATAAACCTTATGCCTAAATATGTGTTCAAAAGATTGAGTATCGGGAAGGTAAAATCTATGACAGTTATGCTACAGCTTGCAGACAAATCTTATGTGTATCCAGAGGAAAAAAATTGAAGATATACTGATAAAAGTTGATAAATTTATTTTTTTTTGCCGACTTAATTGTTATGGATTGTTAAGTAGATAAGTTTGCACCTATTATCCTTGGAAGACCATTCCTAGCGAAAAGAAGAACCTTAATTGACGTCGAAAGGAGAGAACTCACTATGAGAATGAATGATCATCAAGTGAAACTAAATGTTTTTCCAACAATAAAGCATGCAAACGATCTAGAAGAATGTCAAGTCATTCCAACCACCACCGAATTCAATTTTGAAGTATAGGAGAATTGCCACGATAATACTATTGCCAAACCGGAGGAAATTGAAGAATCAGGTGATGGAAAGCAAGATTAAGCAAACAAGATAATAAGTCAATCGGATAAATATTTCTTTTATCTTCACTTTTATTACATTTTTTTTCTTTTAATAAGATTTAAAATATTTGTATTTTAAAAAGAATCAAATAAACTCTTAAACTTTTTAAAAAAAATTAGTTTGACCCTTGAACTTGAGAAAAAAATCAATTTAACACATCTACAATATTATTAGCCACGTCACCAGTCATTATAGATTACCACGTCAGCATCATAACAATTAACGTCGAAAATAAATAGTGAAAATATCACATTAAATTTTGTTCTAAGTTATAATTTCAAAGACCACGTTAGGCTTCTTCTTTTTTAAATACCTTGACATGAATAGTTGAACGGGGAAGGTGACGATTGAACGTTTTGGGAAAACCTAGTAAGACAGGTGTCGAGATATCATTGTTGAATACGACAATTATTTTACGCGTGTTGAAAAATATATATAATAGATACTGCTTAAATGTTGTCGTATATTTTATTTGGGTAAAATACGCAAATGGTCCCCTGATCATAAGTCATTTTTTTTGTTGAGTCTCTCAAGTATTAAAAATTACAAAACGATCCTTTAATTATAGGACAATGTTTGTTTAGTCACCCGATTATTAAAAGTTATAAAATAGTTATCTGACTATCCATATGTTCTAAACTCATATGTTTTTGTTAAAAAATTAACAGTAATCTAAATCAAACATTGATTGCTAACTGAGATATGACAATATATATAATTTAATTATTGTTATATAATCTATTAATAATCTAATTCAAATCAAATACTTACGAGATAATTTTTTAATTCAATTTACTTTATTTATATCATTAAGATTCAAACACTTAATTTTACTTAAATTGGATTAAGTCTTTGTTCTTCTATAAACATAATAAGTGAACATTTTATACCAAAAAATCCAAACAGTTGAATCATATACGCAAAATAAATAAATAAATAAATGATAAATTATTATAGATTTTACAAAATGAAAACGATAAATCCCAAAAGTACCGAATCAGAAGAATTAAACCCCGTCGTACATCATTTTTCCGGCGAAATACACGAGTCGAACTAGCACAGAAGAACGTCAGCCGCATAGTGAATCGAAACACAAACAAACTATATATAAATAAATAAAAAGTTCAGCCGGCGTAGATGCGAATGCCGACGGCCAAAATGAGGATAGTGAAGAGGACAAAGAAGAGGAGAGTGTGGATAACGATGGCTTTGCCGTTGGTCTGAAAGTTACCGAACTCGAAAGTTCGGTTGTTCCCCGGAAGCTGGAAGAGGAGGCCGGGGGACAGCAGTATGAAGAGCAACAGCCCTATAACAATGGGCGCCCAATCCTTCATCGCAACCGCTTACAAATTGACAAAAAAAATTACTCTTTTTATGGCCGTGAACTCTCTCAGTCAAAACAACAAACACAAGGAATGCTTCCAAACAATGCAATGGGTACACTAGTATGAGCTTATATAATTATGGAGAAAACAAGAAAAAGGTGAAATTCAAAGAGCATTGTAAGAGTTTCCAGTTGTTGCGTAAAAGTGACAATGGACCATTTATATATATGGGTAAACTACAAATTTCATCACTTAGCTTTAGTTATATTTCTGATTTGATTTCTACATTTTACAAACATTCAATTTGATCACTTGATTTCGACATTGCACTTTTAAAAAATATGAAAAAGGCCACAAAACTTCCTTTTAAATTTATGAAAATGTCCCTAAAATCTTTCAATCCAAAATTTTAACCTAGCTTTTCGGATCCTCGTTGATTTTAGGACGTTAGAGCATCTTCTTCTAAATCTCAATAGCGAGGATGTGGAGACAAATAATAAATTCCGACTCCACCCTGATATGATGACGGAGATTGCAAATCTGAGTTTTTTTTTCGGGGTTTGAGTTGAAATTTCACGAGTTTTAAAGAGATTTAGGAAAAATTTAAACTGATAGAGCGGTAAGAGATAATAAGATGAGATTATCAGTGCATGGAGTGATAAAAAAATTAATGATATCAATGACAACATGATATGTGAATGAAACTCTAAAAATTTTAAAGTTGTTATTTAAACCATTGTTTTTCTCTGTCACTTAAACTTTTTCATACAAACAAAGATTCGATAATAAATAGATGTACGATCTTTCAACTACATTAACCATATACCCTTTTACTTCTAAATTTGAATAATATAAACTACATTAACCATATACCTAGGGATGAGCATGGGTCGGTTGGGTCGGGTTTTTGGTCCACCCGACCCGACCCGAGAATAAGG